GTAAACCTCCGACTATAAGCCCTGGGCTTATATACTTTTGTAAGCGATTTTTGATGGGCTTATACAAGGGGAGGCTTATATACGGGTGGGCTTATACATGGACGATCTTTTGTGTTAGTAATAAACAAGTCAGACATAAACAAGTCAGTCATAAACAGGGAAATAAACGTGTATTAAGCAGCGATTACTGGGCTTATATTAATTGGGGGACTTATATTCGGGGGGCTTATATTTGGAATGAGGTGAGCGTTAGTACATGTGGTGGGATTATACATGGGGGGACTTATATTTGGAGGTTTACGGTACGTCTAATGCACACAACTTTCGCACCTTGCTCTGCCCAATGCTACATGGTTTTATTTGTCAAGAGGAAAGTGTTGGGTACATATTTAGTTTTCAATGTTTCCAGTCTGGAAAGCCCTGGGGGGGGGGATTTAGAAATTTGAGTTCCCCAGATCGCCAGAAAATTGCCTTTCAAAGGTTTTTCTTTCACCTTTTTCAAAGCACAAACCTTATGTGTTCATGCTATGAAAATATGAAATGTTAGCATCGCATTCCTCAGGCTCAGGAGTTTCCCAGCTGTCTCTTTTTGATATATGCGAATGAGACACACATTTTCAAGATTTCTCAAGAGTTCTGGGTACTGCTGTTGGCAAAAAGAATGCTTTGAACATTGTGCAAATGAAAAGAAATGGGAGTAATTGCCCCACAGGAAGAAACCTCGACAAGTTAAGTTTAAAAATACGGCAAGAAAGTCACTTCATGCGTGATGCATTAGGGGTGCACCGGAACTCGGTTCCGGCCGGTTAGTTCCGGCCGGAACCCCGATTTTTTAGAGTTCCGGTTCCGGCCGGAACTAGTAAAAAAAGCATGGCCGGAACCGGAACTCTGTCGTTTTCAGAGAGATAGAATATCAAACGTTTTTGTGTCTAACAAAAGGTCACAGTAGGAAGAAATGTGGACTACGCAAGGGAAATGTACACTATTAACACTTCATTATGACGTTGAACGCTTGTTAATCTTTTTATTCTAACATTTGCGAGCTCTCTCCTTGATGACTTGAAGTGTCTGCCTGTCTTGCAGCAGACAAAGTAACATATGACTATTTCCAGTTCCGGTCGGATCCGGTTCCGGCCGGAAATTTAAAAACTGGTTCCGGTGCACCCCTAGACTTCTGCTCATAACAAAAGGGGAACCACAGATATAAACATTGCCCAAATGGAACACTCCATCCCTGCATTGATACTGAATGGCACCATTGGTATTGTTATGCAAAAGGACATTGGTAATCATATGTTCATAATTTATTCATGT